GGGGGAGGAGGAAGTTTCACAGTCTAGTGCATTCCCATCAGATCAGAGAACGGGGGAGCTCACACAACTTCCCTTTTTCAAGAGCTTCTCTGCCCCCACTTTCATTTCAGTTCCTTACCCTCTGGACTGGGCATAGCGCAGCTGGTGGGCCGGGCAGGGGCAGGCGCCCAGGTACCCAGCCAAACTGGGCTGTCAGCTGGCTCCATCGCGGGCCTGGCAGGCTCCCTCGCTGTTACCCAGCATGCCCTTCTCCTTGTCAGGGAGGCCTCGCCCTCTTGTTTTCCAAGTTTTATAACAGTATTGTTTGTTGTCCAGCAGATTAAATTCTTTTGGAGGCTTGGGGAGGGGCACGGCGGGTTGAGGGACAGAGAGGAGGGAAAGAGAGAGGGAGAGAAAATACAAATAACTTCCATTAGGGCCAAAAAATTCAATGAGTTCCTTTCTGAATACAGAGTTGACCTGTCTTGGAGAGGCCAGTGGCCAGGAACCTGTGTTCTCATCCTCTGTCCCTTTCCTCACCTAGTAGGGTGACATGTGGTCTCAGACTTTCAAGGCTATTACTCGGGGTTCAAGCTGAAAAGAAGAAACAGCTGAAGTGTCTGGGGGGTTTATGCCCGAGCAATCCCACCCCAGACGGGAAGCATGACATGGGCTGAGCGGGTCCTGGCAAGAATACCCTTGATTCTCATCTCCTCAGGGGCCTGGAAGACCTGCGCCAGAACTAGGGGGGGAGGGGCAATCTATATGTCCCGTTTCATAGATGGTTCATCTCTGCAGTGAGCTTGTAGTTTGTTCACATGTGAAACAGACGTAATACATTCAAGGATGTCAGAGGCATGGAAAGTACTGTACCCCAAGGAAATAAAAACACAAATGCATGGACAAATATTCATGTATATGTAAGGAATGAGTGAGAGAGAACACACTGAAGAAAGAAGACAAAAAGTCAATATAAAAAACCCATGATCTTACAGACCAGAGGGCCCATCTAAAGGTCCCTGACCTGTCAGGCCTTTCAATGCTAACTGTGCAGGAGTAATAACACAAAAGGATATATGGTTCTCCAGATTTAATACGACCTTCACTCAGTCATTCACTGGTTTATTTCAGACTTTGGGTTACCGCTAAATAGCATGCCCATTAGAAAACACACTGTGCCTTTAGCATTGCAGGCAATGCTGGTGGTCCCAGAGCTGTGGATCTGACCTGAGATAATCCTCTTCCACCTCCTACCTTCCTCCCAGCAAACCATGTCAGGCCCTGCCTCCTGTACCCCGCCTCCTGTACCCCGCCTTCACATCTCCAGTGCCTACCAAGGTCCCTAGGGCTGGGTGGAATTGGCAGGGTAGGTAGCGGCAATGGTGCAAAGACAGGCTTAGAGCAGCGCAGGGCTCTTTCCTGAGAGAGATGAGGGGCAACTTGCCTTTGACCTTTTTTTATCTGCAAATAATACCAGTCCTATAGGGTCAGTTCCACAAGTTCCCTCTGCGGGGGAAACAAGGCTAGAGCTCCAGGCCCAATGCTCCTGTGCCCCCCTGTCCCCCAGTTTAGGCTGGCCTCAACGGCAGGAACGAAAGATGGAGAGTGCAGCCACACAGCACGCTGCAGGTCCTGGCACCCAAACCTCATGCTGTTCCGGGGCCGGCTCAGAGTCCCACAGACTGGGGACTGGAAGGACAACGAGTCCCCCCTCAGGTAAAGAGAGGGGTTTCATCATTCTTTGGGAGCCCTCAGCAAAGGGGACACCACAGTTCTCCCTGGAGTCTCGCCTACATCACTCTCCCTGCTGCAGGTCCAGCCAGCCTTCCCCCGCTCTGGGCGAAGGACTGGGTCCAAGAGGACAAACCTTCAATGCGATGTTACTGAAGGCTTCATCCACCAGAACAACTCGCCTGCGGGTCCCCCATCGCAGGGCTCTCTGCAAGCTGAGGCTGCATTCGGGGGCCACCGAGGGATAGGCACGCACAGACACATGCTGCTGCCCCGTCTCATCTCAGTCCTTCCTCGAGGAACACTCCCAGATAAGGCCTAAGCCAGCCAGGCCGAGGGGGCTGCAAACAAAGGTGAACGCTGCTTTTCCCTTCATATAACTCCTGGGTCTATTCGAATGCCGATCACTCGGAGAGCCACACGGCCAAGAAGACATGCCGTTCCCTGTTCTGCTTCGGCACCCCTATAAAGAGTGGGGGGTCATGCTCAGTATTCAGGGAACACTGATGCCCAAGGATTCTCTCTGCGGGTAAGGTCTGCCTCATCATGTCAATCAGGAAGCAAACAGGGCTGAAGCCAGCATTTCCAGCATCTTACTTCACATTGTACATTAGCCAATTCTTCCAGCAGGTGCTGTACGTTAGCCAGCAGACAGGTAGCATCACAGCGCCCGTGCTGGACAAATCTGGGCGTATCTCATAAAGCTGTTGGAAAAACCTCACAGGTCCCACGATGAGGCCTCTTTCTAGGAGAGCTCCTTAGCAGATGCAACAGGACTCAATGCACATGCATGAAGCGCCATACAGATGTGTCAGAATGGCGTGAAGCGCGTAGAAACCTCACATGAAACATGTGTTAAATGGCTGGCTTCCCAGCTGAGAAGTTACCAGCCAGTTTTCACAAGACATCCAAGTTGTTGAGAGAAGCAGAGAACAGGAGAACCTAGATATTCTGAGAAGGGCCCTACGACCTACAGAGATCAAGCCAAATGCTCCCGCCCCACTGGTCAGCGTAAGAACACAACTAGAACCCAAGGAAATGACAACTGGAGTCAGGGGACCAGGTGGGGGTGTGACCCATGTTAGGCAGGTACGAGCAATTAGATCTTGGCAGGACCCCCTCTGGCTCAGTTTCAGCAACTACAGGGATAACACCACCTACCCTCATAGGGCTGTGTGAGGACCAAATGAGCTGGAAAAATGTGCAGAGAACTGTGAAACGTCACATGGTGCGTGTGAGCGGATAGTCGCTGATCAATTCCTCTCCTGCCTGAGTCCCAGCCCAAATCCCGGTTCACTACATCATTCTGGGGGTGACGGGGGGTGCTCACGGTGATGCCGCCCAGGTGAGTGTCTAGTAAGCAGACAGTGTCTTGGAGAAATGCAGCTACTTTTAAGGCTCTGCGTTTCGGTTCGTGGATTGCACAGTATGTGCCGTCAGCACCAGGGGACTCTACCCACGAAGCCCTGGAGAAGTAGTGGGCGTTGGGGAAGGAGGCTGTCATGGAGACGCTAGGTCAGGGCCCCGGCCTCTGTCGGCCCCAGGATAGTCCTGAACAACAGCCTGCGAGGGAAGGGGGTGCTGAGACCCTGGGGTTTCCTACTTGTGTTTTATTTTTGCTATTTTTTAAAGAGTGACTCAAGACTAAAAAGCTAAAGTGGAACTGGTGCCTCTGAGGTATTTTTGTTTTTGTTTTTTGCTTCTCTCTCTCTCTCTCTCTCTCTCTCTCTCTCTCTCTCTCTCTCTCTCTCTCTTTCTTAAATAGAAGGGCTTAAACAACCACATGAGAAAAGAAGGCTAAATATAAAGGAAAACTTCCTGACAGCAAAGGAACAGATGTCTCAGGAAAGGCACAGGACACACAGGACCTGCAGTCCCATTTTCTCTCCAGGATTTAGGGCCAGAAAGGATGGTGTAACTTTCCTAGGACACGACAGCACAGCCAGCCCCCCACCCAGCAGCCCCCACACCGCTGGCTTGTCTCCACACAAGTGTCTTGGTGGGAGCTGGAGTGGCCATCCTCTGTGACCTGGAGAATGCTCATCAGCCACCTACACACAATCTCCAGCCCCTTCCCACTTCCTTCTGTGGGGAGGGAGGGGGTCCTTCCAAAATTGTATCCACTTGCCTGTCCTAATGGATGGCAACAGCGTCACCTCAGAGAACAGGACTGCTGGTGCTTGGTCCAAGGTCCCTGTCCCTCTCCTGTAACTCAGGTCTCCTTTTCTCGTCCCCAGTTGCTGGCTAAGAAATATCTCCATGAACATCCAGGGAGTACCCCATGTCAGAGTTGGCAGGAACCTCCAAAAAGATTCTCATTCAACCCCCTCATTTTCTAGGTAATGAAGCTGAGTCCCAAAGAGATAAGGCGAGTGAGTCTTTACGGAGGGAACCATGACCTGCTGAGTCTTCTGCACCAAGCAACACCAGCCCGCTTTCCCTGAGCCCCACAACCAGGCCACCAGGCCCCACACTGCACTCTGTGCAACCTCAGAGCCCCGGCAGCAGATGGCAGTCTCCGCTGCCCGGGGGAGGAGGGACAGGCGTGGCCATGGGGCAAGGAGGCAAGAGTCCCTCCCGGGGCCTGACCCACGTGGGCCTCGCCACTGTTCCATTCCTACCGAGTAAACAAGTCCTGAGCCGGGAGCCGAGCTGCACACACGCTGAAAACAGCCGTCCCCTATCTCCAGCTACCAACCTACCTCAACCTCGCAAGACACAAAGCTCGTCCAAGCACCTGACACAAGGTGACTTCTTGTCCCTTCCCCTCTGCCTGTTCCTTCCCTATCGCGACAATCTCGGAACCACGTGTTCTGGAAGGAGAGGCTGGGCACAGAGTTCTGCCTCCCCCAGGCACATATTTTACCAGTGACTCGGCACAGCCTTAACCCAAGCGTTTCCCTGCGCTGTGTGGACAAGCAAGGAGCACGGGGACCAGGCTGAGGTAGAGACGCCAGCGGGCGCCTGACGAGGGCAGGAGGTGCAAGTCAAGAGCAGCCGTGGCTAATGGAAAAACCCCCAGCCTGCTGGAGACCAAAGGCCTGATGTCTACTGCCACCACGTTCCCCGATTCACTGCAAGTTCCTTCGAGCTCCGGGACCTCGGTGACTCTTCTAGGTGTTACGAAAAGAGCAGATCAGCATCCACATCGATTCTAACTCTGGAGGTCTGACCACAATGGTTTCCCCAGGTGGCTGAGGTCCTCTAGGCTCTTAACTTCCCTCCCTGACCAACATCTGGGTGCCCACTGTATTGGCATCCTCCCTTTCCAGAGTCTCCTTTATATTGTGTATCGTTGAGCTCTAGTTGTTATTATTAGTGACCTCTCCCACACTGGAACAGAAACCCCACGAGAGCAGAAACTTGGTCTGGTGGAGTCTGGCCTCGCCGCATGTACCGCAGTCCAGCCTCCGGCACACGGCGCAGGCAGAATCCAGGTTCGTGGAAGGAAACGTGTCTGCCTGTTCAGCCCTGCCTGTCCATGGATACCCAAGAGACTCTTCCTCTGCCCTGCCTCCCTCAAAAGGGATGTGGCATAGCTGTCCCCAGTGACTGCAAAGTGCCCCTGGGTATCTGACCTCTCACGCTGGTTCACATCCGTTCTCCCAGCTGCCTATCCTCTGAGGGTCTTAGCTCCTCAAAATGTCTGACTTCAGCTCAAGAAGGTGAAGAAAAAGTACAGGCTTTGGAAGTGTCTGCATTGAAATCTCAGCAACCCTACTTACCAAGTGTGTGACCTTGGTTAAGTCACTCAATGATCACTTTTTTAACCATCAAAAGGAAGTAACACCTACTTCATATGGTTGTTCAAAGGAGAAAACAGATGAGCAAAGGGGACCTTTAACAAAGGCCGGTTTCCCTTTCCCGGGACTGCATGCTGAATCCATCTCACGCCTTCAGGCGTCATTACAGACCCTGATCTGGGCTCCACACACACACATTCTATTCTCGGCCACGGCAGACAGCCCTGGTTGAACACTGGACACATCCTCCCACCCCCGCCTGGCCTTAATCCTGTGGTCAGACGATGCACAGCCGTCTCCACGTGGCTTTCTCCATCCTCATCCCCTCGCCCCTGCCCTGCCCAGGCTCTGCACAGGCCTTGGGGCTTCTGCAGGTACTCCCTGGCTTCTCCAGCCCACGAGCAGCTCCCGTGGATGGAGACAACAAGAAACCAAACCCAGTCTCTGCTTTCCTCACAGACACTCCAAGTCCCGGAAAAGCAAAGCAAAATGACGGCCTCCCACAGACAGCCGGCTGGTGGAAAAGGGCAGTCTCTCTTACGTATCTCAGAAGGAGGCAACGTGCCCATAAAAGTGACCAGCACAAGGTACAGATCCTCTCTAAAGCTGCAGCCTTGGGGGCACTCGTGCCAGGGGACAGAGCCAAGACATGCATTAAACAATTCACAGCCCTGACCAGACCAGAATTCAATGGAATCCAGAAGGTGCGGACCAATCAGGTCCCCTGGCAGGGCCCCGCCCCCACGCCCAATGGCCAAGCCACACCACAAGAGCTCTCACGCCATCAGCTCTGTTAACTTCTGCTGGACTCCAGATGGAAAGGCCCCACGCTGTCTCCTGGCTCCCAGATCCCAAGGATCCAAAGGTCAAGAAAGAAGTGCCAGATATGCCTGGCCCCTCTTCTCAGGGGATGCCAACCGTTTTGCTAGCCTGACCTGCAACACATAATGCCCCATGTCGTGTAGGCAGAAGCCAGGCTGGTGAGCAGGGAGAAAAGTACTAGGTGAGGGACACAAATAAGAAACTCAATAGGGAAGCACCAACCCCAATCCTGGACACAACCAGAAGTACCAGGGACAACTGCGTCACAAGGAGCAAAACCTTGCTTCCTGCCCTGGTTACTCCAACCAAAGGCAGGGCTGTGAATGGGAGCTGTGGTCACCCAGAGCCAGGCCCGGGGACGCACAGCACATGTGAGAGCACGGCCAGCAGCTCCGTCTGGCTCTAGTCCTACAGCCGGCACTGGTCAGACTTAACCGGCACATCTTGAGGGACTTGGCCTGTTCCTCTCCGTCTCCCCAGCTGCACCGAAGCTGATCTCTCCACTTGATTGGTGTTCCAGATCCAACACCCCTAGCGCTCCCTTGCTACATTACTGCTGGAGGGGCTGAGACTTGTCAAATTCCTTGAAGAAAGAGACACTGGACTCCTCCAAACCAGCCCTGGACTCCTCAGTCGATGAGGGTCTCAGGCTGCTCACAGGCAACTTACAGACGCATCTCAGGTGGGAAGGAGAGAAGGTGAAAACGCCGTGCGGGAGAATTCGCCAGTCTTCCCTGGGCTGCAGTGGGGTCGGGATGGGGAAGAGGCATGAGCGGTGAGATCCCACAGGGGCCTTCTGGCATCAGCCAAGAGCGCCATAAAATTACCTGGCGCCTTTCCTTGTCTCTCTAGACCCCAGACAAATCTCTCAGCTAACTGCAACCAGCCCTACTGGCCTAGAACATCGCAGGAATCTACTTGATGGGGGAGAGACTTCCCAGTGACATGGCAAGCACCTACAATTTGCTTTCTGAATTGTCTCTATAGTGCGACAGACCTCCCCAGTTCTGCACAGAGTCATCATTTTTAATTACCATTGCTATTATCAAGTGAGGCAGAGAAAAACATTTCTACGTCAACTGCCTACAGATGCTTTGTGACGGCTTACTTGGCCAGGAAATTTTTTTAAGGTGAAGGCAATGACAGCCTAGAGGAAAAAAGTGACTTTTACTCAAAAAAAAAAAAAAAAGAAAAAGAAAAGAAAGAAAAGCAAAAGCCCCCAAAAAGGGAAACAGCCCCCAAAACTACTACCCAGCCCATAGTCTAAACTCCAGACCCAGCAAGGCCAATGGTGTTTAGAGTAAGAGAGGACATCTACTGAGGTGACACAGGGAAACAAATGCTTAAGTCCCAGGCAGTCTCCTGGGACCTTGAGAGGTTAAACCCAGAATCTCAGGCTAGGTGTTGGGGACTAAGGAAAGTTCCTAGTCAGTGACATGGGAGGCCCCACTGCCACACCCCACGACCCTCCCAGCTAAATCCCACACATCCTAGCAGCCTGGTCACTTCCGCGGGCTGCCCTGCCCCCAAGCATCTGCTGGTTACTAACCCCATTCACAGAAAAGCCAGGAGGAAGAAACCAGAAAGAAGAGGGCGATTTGGGAGAGATTCTGACTGAAGAAGCTTGAGGATTCTCACGGAATGAAGAAAATGGTCTCCTTGGGAAAAGAAGGGCTTTGGGGGAGATGAGAAGGGGGAAGCCCACACCTGACTTACCTGGAAGGAAGCGAGGGGGTTACATCCCATTTTCTATGCTGCTGGTTTCCATTAAGCACCCTCGTGATGAGTCAATGACAAGACCAGGGTCCTGTCACATCAGTCAGCGCTGCGGTCACAGAACCACACAAATTGGTGACTCAACGGCACCTATAAGGGGGAGGAGGCAGATTTCCAGCCCAGTCTGCCTATCCCACCCAGCCCCTCCTGAGGAGGCCTGACACCTCTGCCTGGGAGAGCCTGATTGCCAGAAACCCCCAAACAGGGGTGAGGGCTGACAGCAGACCCAGCTCCCGAATGCTGACCGCTGAGTTTGCCCTCATACATCCTAAAGAAAATCAAAGGGCGGAGGAGGAAGGGGTGGAGGAAGGCAGGGAAGACGAGAGGTCCAAAAGGAGGAAGAGAGAGGTCAGAAGACATCCTTGGGCAAAGCAAGGAGAACAGGAAGCCAAGAAGACGTGCCAGGGCGGGTGTTTGCAGTGGGTCGCACTGTGCCTGCAGCCACATCATGAGCGCAGCCTCTCCTCCTCCAAACCCGAAATCCATCGAGAACCGTCAGCCCGTCCTAGCCCTCACCCCATATTAGTACCCTCATCCATATGACCTTTGATTCTGTCATCATCGAAATAAGGGACAGAAAGCTTGGGAGCCCTAAAACACACACACACACACACACACACACACACCCCTCCCCCCTCCCTTCCCGGAATGAAAGATCCCTCAGAGTTGTCTCACTCTCTAGGTTCTGGTTCTCTGACAGAAATGCTCCTCTCCCACGGGGGAGGGCAGACACGGCCGATAAGAACTGCTTAGCACAATGCTATATATAGTCGAGGTTCCAACCAGCCTAGAGATTTGGAGCTAGAACTTGGCAGAGAACCATGCTAGATGCTGGCAAAGACCAGCCTCCCCCAGCCAACCAACTGAGAGCCTCACCTCTCTGCTGGGGGCAGTGAGGGCAAGCAGGGCGCTTCCATTCATCCTATTAACACTCTGGACTGAGGGACATGGGCCTTGGGCTCCATTTCAGGAAAAATCAACTTCGCCCGAATGTGAGGCGGCTGTGAGGGGGCTGAACAACGAGTTGTAGCCTCTCTGCACCTCTCCAGCAGCACTGGAAAATTGATCTAGTCCTCTCTGCTAGAGGATGAAGGGTGAGGCATGCAGGAAAAGAATGGAGAAGGCATGCATAGCAGCTGGCTGGGGTCGATAAACATCTATCCAGTTCCGATATTTGAAGGAATAAAAGTATGCAGACGAACACTTACTGCACAGAGCCAGGCATCTCCTTTTTTTGTTCCAAACAAACGCAAACGGGCACACATTTATCCCACCATATGACGGCTGTCTTCTGAGTCCCAGCATCATCCTCAGCTGTGTCCACGAGGTTGTCATGTATTCATGGAGCTCAACTCCTCTGAGTTCTCTCTGGGGAAGAAGAGAAAGGAAGACGCGTAGGTTCAGCTCCCAAGGCCAAATTCAAGCAGTGAATGTGCAGGCTCTAATCAGGGTCCCATCTGGGGCTGGGATGTGACCCTGGGACCATGGCCCTCAGCTGATGCTCACCATCCGATGACAGAAGCAGGATAATGTTGGGCCCATCGTCCTGGAAAAGTGTTAGTACCAGTGGGCATGGGGTCTTGGCAAGGTGGGCCTATCATCTCTTTCAGAAAACAAATTTGAGGGACAACAATGCTCTCTGAAGTACAGAATCTGGGCTCTTGCCATACACACAGTTTCTAGACAAAGAAATATGAGACTCAAAGGATCCAACACCCACATATATACAATTTTTTTAGGTCAACATGCTCTGTACTCAGGCTCAAAAAAACATGACGCAAAGGGGCTGGGGCTGCCTCTGCACTCTGGGTGGGGACGGCTGGCTCCTGTCCCTTGCTCTGCCTAACTGTCCGCTGTGACCTCGGTCAGGTCTCCCTGCTCCCTCAGACTCCCAAGGCCCCAAAGCCACTCCTTCCAGAGATCCCCAATGAGTCACGCTGGGAGGTCCCTGGGGAGAGGAGGAGGTGCTCCACAACAAATGTCAGTGCAAGCATCGTCTATGGGAAAGCGAGACTCAAAAGTGGCACATGGGGAACGCAGGCCGGGAGCTCCAGGGCCAGGCTGCTCCTCAATCCCCTCCCACAAGTTCTTTGCTCCTCTGCCCCCAGACACTGGCCGAGGGAGGAAAAGGAGAGAAAGGGAAGCCGAGGCTGGGGATAACGGTGTGGCGATGATTCAGCGGCAATGGCGGTCCATCCCTCTCTCTCCCAAGATGGCAAGGCGCGAAGGGCGGGGTCGGGC